TTTACAAAGATTAAACTTATTCATCATCTTCAAAGTTCATATCTCTGTTATAATTAAGATATTTTTTCATCATTGGAGGTAAGGGCAATTCCTGGATTTTTCGGACCATATGTGGGGTATAAAGGCTCATTATGTGATTGGAACGATCTGCGATGTCCTCCTCATCTTCACTGCTCGAATCTGAAACAGTTTTATAACAATGTAAGCATTGCCGGTTTGCAAATATTTGTTTGGCAAACTAAATAAAATTACAGATCCTCCTCAAATACACGATATGAGGCTCATTCTCTGCCAAACACAGTTGAAGCTGGAAGTTAAACGTCAAAACAAAAAACTGGTTGACTTCCATCTAAATATATCAAGAAACAACAACACGTATGACCGGAATCTAGAAATTATCGAAAAAAAATTTCAATATTTTTCTCGTACTCTATAAGTGGAATGTTAATTAATAGTAAAATATTAATATTAAAATATTAAAAGGAATGGCGCCAATTTTGAATCACCCTGTATTTTGACCCCAATTTCCTGTTAAATGTTCTCACCTGAAGGATCTGCTTCTTCTTCAGATCCCTTCTGATCCTCTTCATCTTCACTACTCGAATCTGAAACAGTTTTATAACAACGTAAGCATTGCCGGTTTGCAAATATTTGTTTGGCGAACTAAATAAAATTACAGACCCTCCTCTAATACACGATACGAGGCTCGCTCTCTGCCAAACAGTTGAGGGTGGTTTGAAAGTTAAAGTTCAAAACAAAAACAGGTTGACTTCCATTTAAATTTATCAAGAAACAACAACACATATGACTGGAATAGTCGAAAAAAAATCAAAAACAAAATTCGTTCGGTTCTGTTGGATTAGTCCATTTAAGCAACTTTATATCCTTTGCAAGTTCGGATATCCATGTTAGTGCGTTTGTACAAAAAGTTACAATGCTTTAATGTGAGGAAATATTGGGCTGAGCTCCAAGAGCTCGCTGGTTTAGTTTATCCTTCCCTCTGTCGGCCACTATATAATTATATCATGTA